GCCAACCAGAGACCACTGAGCAGGAGAAGCAGAGTGAAATTTCCTGGGGCGCCTGGGTGCCTCAGTCGTTAAGCGTCTGCCTTCGGCTCAGGTCATGATCCCGGGGTCCTGGGATCAAGCCCCGCATCGGGCTCCCTACTCCGCGGGAAGCCTGCTTCTCCCTCTCCCACTCCCCCTGCTTGTGTTCCCTCTCTCGCTGTGTCTCTCTCTGTCAGATAAATAAATAAAATGTTAAAAAAAAAAAAAAGAAAGAAAAAAATTTCCTAAGAACCTAGGGGATTCCCCACCCTCGTCATCTTTGAGACCCACCAGTTGTGATCTGGAGGAAGAGCCACCTGCAATGTGGACACGAGTGACAAGCTGCACTGTGGGCCCAGGCACCCCGTGCTGACACCACCAGCCTGCGGGTCTCTGAGGGGACCCCCCTCAGGCTGACTGCCAAATTCTCCAGTTTGCCCTGGGATATTATAGCAAATTATTTGTATGATTAATAAAAATAAAACATACTTCTTGGCAAAAAAAAAAAAAAAAACACTGAAAAAGCAGTACTGGACTTTCCATTTTAATTAAATATTCAGAATAGATGGTGATAAAATAAGTTTACAATTAACAGTTAAATACTTAGGGACATCCGATGTACTACATTATAAAATTTTACTTTATAAGCTGTGCAAACGGGGTACATATTTAAGAAGGGTGATGATGAGAGAATGTCTATTAGCCAATACACATACGAGATCGATGAGCAGGACATTAAACAGATCACACTTACTTACGGATACCCGATCCACACACAATCTCCCTGCACTTAACTGAGCGCATCCACTGACTGCCGATGGGCTACAGTCGCGGGCACCATGGCCAGCTCCCCTCAAAGGGTTAGCTTTTCGCCATGCCAGCAGAGACGTTTCGGGACAAACAGCTCACACACTGGCTGGGAATCCAGCCTGGGGAACGAGGTAAGCAGACAATGGCATGGCTGGGCCCGCCTGGGCCTAGTCCCTCCAGCGGTGCCCACACTGAGCACTGCAGCATTTGTAGAAGGTGGTCATCGGCTCGTCTGCAGAGCGGGTCTGAAGCTGCATGAAATAGGCACGAGGATGTTCGCATTTAGGACATGGCTCTGGCAACGAGAAAAACAAGTGACCCACATTATTTAAAAAAAAAAATATGATGCTCATGACCAAACATACCTGCTAGAAGTAGGTGTCATGGAAAGGCAGCAAAGACCCTCTCCGGGCCCCATTCATCTGGCAAGCCTTGCCTAGGGTACCCTGTACCATGATTAAGGCTATAGTTAGTGGTATCATTCCCACTACGCTCTCACAACGAGGGAATCAGGGAGACCTGTGATCTGGAAAACACTCCAGCTCCCCCCCCCCGCTGGGTCCCATTTTTCTTCTCAAATCTGGTTGAAGACTGGCTGGAAACATAACAAGGAAAGTGACTTATGACTACCATGTGCATTACGGGGTCCACTCCCTGCAGATGCTTCTAAGTGCATTTCCATCACTTGGGCCCTCTCAGCCTCCCAGAGGAGCCCCCAGTGGACGATGAATCCACTTCCCTTTAAATTTAGGGATCCTTTTTGGCAGCAGTTCCTCAAGCTGTTCTTACAAAGATCTCACCATACATTCCACACCTATGTCAAGGCAAAGTGACTTCACTTTGAGAAACTGCCTCTACTCTTGATAACACCTTCAAACACTCTCAAACACCATTTTAAACACTGGGTACATAATTCATCTTTTTTTTTTTTTAGCAAATTCTGCCAGTGCTAATTGCACCATATCAGATTTGGATGTTCTTCTATAGGGGAAAAAAGGTAACAGTAAACAGGAGTTGGCTCTTCCTCTCCGCAGTACAGGTGTGTTTAGGGCTCTCCTCTTTCCCTCCTTGGTCATGTCTACCTCTTTCAGATATGAAACAAGACGTGAAATAAACACTTGAATGCTCTCTGGCACTGACTTTTATTTATTTTTTATTTTTTATTTTTTTTTTAAAGATTTTATTTATTTGAGAGAGAGAGAGAGAGAGCATGAAAGGGTCAGAGGAGAAGCAGACTCCCCACTGAGCGGGGAGCCCAATGTGGGACTCGATCCTGGAACTCCAGGATCACTACCTGAGCTGAAGGCAGTGCTTAACCAACTGAGCCACCCAGGTGCCCCTGGCACTGACTTTTAAAAATCCACACCAGAACAAATAGCTCCTATTTCTTCCTTAGGCTCTTTCATTACTCCTGCCACCGTCGCATTATCATGGCTACCTCTTACGGAGTACACTGGATGCCCGATGCCGTATGACTCATTTTATGGGCTCACACTCAGTGAATATGGAATAGCCCCAGAAAGGGCAAGGGAGGCCACCAAGGTCATAGAATGTTAGGAGGTCACTGTGAGACTCTAACCCAGGCCTGCACAGCGCCGCGGCTTGTGCCAATATTGTCTAACAAATAAATTACTAAGGAAAAAATAAACACACTTTGTATTTTTAGAACCTCCCTTCCTCTCCGTACATCACTGAGTCAAACACAGGCCAGAGGCCTCCTACCTCTCCACAGCTCAGTAACAGAAAAGGTTCCTTCTCACCTGCGGTAGAGTCAACATTCTCCCAGGCTGCTGCTCCGCCAAGCACATCATCCACTTCTTTCAGCTTTGGATACTTCCGATTTGTTACCTAACAAACAACAGCAGGTCTTCAGGCTCCAAATAAGTGAAAAGTAGAAACTTGGGCCACCAAACCCTACCTGTCCTCAAGTGTCTCCGCAGACTTCCTTCCTTCAACACAGACTACTAAAAGAATCCAAAGTTTCTACTCTCACAGAGCAGGACTCAACACTGGAATTTAAAGAATCCAGGTTTGGGATGCCACCCAAAAGAGGAAGATTCAGTGGTGCGGAGTTATTCTCAGAAAATGTATCCTAGGGGCGCCTGGGTGGTTCAGTCGGTTAAAGTGTCTGCCTTCGGCTCAGGTCATGATCTCAGGGTCCTGGGGTCGAGTCCCGTGTCTGGCTCCCTGCTCAGAAGGGAGTCTGCTTCTCCCTCTCCCTCTGCCTCTCCTCCCCGCACTCATGCTCGCGCGCTCTCTCTCTCTCACTCTATCTCAAATAAATAAAACCTTTTAAAAAAAGGAGAAAAGAAAGAAAATATATTGTAAGCCCTCAGGAGTGATTGTGGAAGCAGCTGAAACGTCAGCAGCGTTCCTGTTCTCAGGCTATTGAACGCAATGGTCTGGTAGGAACAGGATCCCATGATCTCCAGGAGCAGGGCACAGGTTATGAGCTAGGGGCCCCCCTTCCTGCACCTGGCGTTTGCTCGCACAAACATCCCACTCTTCCCTTTATCTCATGACTGCCTCCCTGCAAGCCTGCGCATAGGGAAGGGTACAGGCCTGCTTTACAGCTTCAAGCTATTTGCCATCCCGCTGTACTCCTTTCCCAGGCTTTGAGACTTCTGTCCTTGCTTTTCTGATAAAAAATGAAATAAAAGCTATGTGCAGAATCCAGCTCCTGCAGCTCTACTTGCAGAGGCAGCCCTGCATGGCCGCTCAGATTGGGGTCTGAAGATTTTATTTCAGCGCAGTGACCACACGGCGGTGAGATCTCTGCAAGGACTGGATGACACACCAGAGCAGGAAAGAAAACCAGGTAGGTGGGACCTTCCCCCTTCGCCCCCACCTTTAGGATACTAGATTACCCAAGATAGCAAAACACAACTAAAGCCAAAGAGCACCACTTAGCTGGAGAGCCCCGCCAGACGCTTTCAAAGCAGATCACACTTGGCTTTCTTCCAAAATTTTACCAAATATCCTTGAAATTTCAGGGTTACCTAAGAGTTCACTCTTCCCGCAGTTTCTGATCCTAAACTCCCACAACATTAAGAAGTTCTCTAGTTCTAAAAAGTAGAAGCGTGCTAACAAATAAAGATTACGGGAAAACAAGTTGTAATGATACCGAAAGCATTATTCATGTACTGAACATCCACTACATTCTAGATTCAGACTAGAGAGAACCTAAGAGGCAACAAAACGGAAAAATCCCTGCCCTCCTACACCTTATGTCCTAGTATTCATAAACAAAACACTTAAGTCGCGGAGTACACTGGAAGGTAATGAGTCCTATGGAAAAACGTAAGACAGGGAAGTCGGATAAAGGGCGGGAGGGGCTGAAGTCTTAAACGGAGCAACCCTTCAAGTACAGACAGGCCCAGCGAATGGCATGGCCACCCAGGGGGAAGTAAACTGAGCAGAAGGCATGTGCAAAGACCCCGGCAGCAGCGCCCCGTGCGCGGTGGGGCCCCTCCCAAGAGACCGGTCTGGCTGCGGACAAGGCATGCACTAGAACTTGGCACCAGACACGCAAGCTCGGAGGGAGGGGTCGGTGTCAGAGCCTGCTGGGTCCTGGGGTGCGCTGGGGAGCTGCGGAGGGTTCCCGAGCACAGCACCGGCTCGGACACGGTCCACCGGGAACGCAGCGCCGGGAGCCCCAGCGCGAGGTCAGGACCCGGACACAGGAGAGGCGACGGGGCGGGGCCCGAGGTGGCGGCACGGAGGGGGGACACACGGCCACATCCGCACAGGATCCGCACCCGACAGGCTCCGCAGCCGACCGCAGGCGGCGGCGAGAGCGAGGACGGCCAGAGGCGGACGCGGGGCTGGTGGGCGGGGAAGCGGGCTCCGGGCCCCACCCCTAACCTTGCGGGTGATGTTGTGCACGTAGGGGCAGGTGTTGCAGGCGAAGCGGTGGCACCGCTGTCCCTCCTCCACGATCAGCCCGTTCCCGCAGCCGGGGCAGAAGAGCAGCATGGCAGCCGGCTCGGCCCCGCAGGCTCCCGGCAGCCCCTGCGGCCGCCGGGCGCGGTCGCTGGGCCCGCCTCGAGCTCCCATTGGTCCGGGCGGCCGACCCACCCTCCAGCCGACCAATGGACAGGCCGATGTCGCGCTCCCAGCAACAGCTGCGGCAGGCCGCCTCGAGCTTCTCATTGGTCCTCGTGGCAACCCCGCCCCCTGGCGGTCCCAGGGGCTCTACTGCGGTCCCCGCGTCGGTGGGGCGCGCGAGCCGGCGGTGCGGGCGGAGCGCGGGAGCGGAGAGGCGCTCTGGAGCCGGCCGAGGCGGAGGCTGCTGTGCGGCCCGAGGCGCCCGAGGACGATGAGGACGAAGAGGAGGCGCTACCGCACTCCGAGGCGGTGGACGTGTTCCAGGAGGGTCTCGCCATGGTCGTGCAGGACCCGCTGCTCTGCGATCTACCGATCCAGGTGCGCGCGGGCGACGGAGGCCGCCGGGGCCGGGGTCGTTCCCCGCGGGGCCGTGCGCCGAGGCGCGGACCGACCTCGAGAGGCCCTGATGGGGGACTGCGGCCCAGAGGCCTCAAGAAGGCGCCTCTGGGCTCCAGCGAAGGTCTTACCCGGGGCTGGGGCTGGGGGGCGGGGGCGAGCGAGGCTCTCACCTGGCTTGCAGAATTTAAGGGGGCGCCCAAAAAAACACTCGTCGGGATACATGACCTTGTAATACACCGTTTTCCAAAGCTCAAAGGGCGTGTAAAAAAGGCTCTGGCAAACAAGACAGCGAAACTTCGCGTGAAGACGAGATCAGTATTGATGGCTTTTCATGTATCTACCTTCAGTCTGGTTCGGCACAGTCCTGTCTTTAAATCTTTGCTAATTTGCCCCACTTGGAGTTTTAAAGTTCACTTGTATTTTTTGTTAAGTTGGTTCAAAATGTTTATATTACTGTTTTTTTGGTGCCCTGGTAAATCTTGCACACCTGCCTCAACTCAAGCGTTGCCCTGGGCCTGGGACTGACAGTGTTCTTACTCCTACCCAGCCCCAGAACCCAGATCTGATCCTCATCGTCCCCTGTCTGTATACTTCTCTTTTGCCGAGCTTTTATCCACTTTGGACATTAAATACAAAATGTGGGTGGAACTGGGAAACCCTAACATATAAGCAAGAAATCTGTTTCTTGTCCTTCAAAAAACATGGTATTGCTTTTTGGACAGTAACAGCTTGTTTTCTTTGGTTGTTGTTTGGGATAGTAAAGAGAGCCAAGGTTCCCACCTCCACCCTTGGTCTTTTTGTAGGTGACTTTGGAAGAGGTCAATTCCCAAATAGCACTAGAATATGGCCAAGCAATGACAGTCCGAGTGTGCAAGATGGATGGAGAAATAATGCGTAAGTGTTCGCCTTCTCCCTTTGGACCTTACAGTCGGAGCTTCCACACAGGCAAGATGTGGACATGGCTGCTCAGGGGGAAACTCGGGGCTATGTCCCAGGGTATTGGGCCAACTACAAGCCTACTCCCCCTGGACTTGAGTCTCCGTCCAAAACAGTCTGGACAGAGCTTCTGGGTTCCTTTCGTGCCATCCAAGGCTGTGGCTGTGGATTCCCACCATGGCCGTCCTCCCATTTGTGTTGCAGCTGTGGTTGTGGTACAGAACGCCACAGTCCTGGATCTGAAGAAGGCCATTCAGAGATACGTGCAGCTCAGGCAGGAGCGTGAAGGGGGCATTCAGCACATCAGCTGGTAAGTGGAGCGGCAGGAAGGCCTGGTGGCACATGAGCGCCTGTTGCATGTGTGCCGCAAAGTACTGGTGAGTTCTGAGTTCCCTGTCCCAAGCCTTCAGGCGTGGTGGGTGCCTCCGTGCCTGGGAGTCCTGCCTCAGTTGCTCTTTCATCTACATCACCCCACCTGGGCAGCCGGGTTTCTTAAACGGGGGGCATCTCGGGGCATTTCTAGTGTCTGTAAGTGGTCTCTCTAGCTGTCAGTGGCCCCAGCCCATCTTCACTTGGGTGCTCTCCTCACGCCTGTTGGGTCAGGTGTTCTGCTGTCTGTGTCTCAGTACTGCCGCCTATCTCGTAAGGTATGTTTGGCCCCCAGCTACCCAGCACAGCCCTTGGAGCAGCGCCTCCTCAGAGCTGCCTCAGCCCATCTCACACACAGCCCGTGTCCCAGCTGCCCAGTGACCGTGCTTGTGGTTTACCTGAATCCTCATCTGAGTCTTGCAGGTCCTATGTGTGGAGGACCTACTACCTGACCTCCGCAGGAGAGAAGCTCACAGAGGACAAGAAGAAGCTTCGAGAGTAAGTTCAGGCACATTTTGAGCTGCTGGGAGGCATCTGGTCTGTTGCCCTCTAGTTCCCCAAGCTCGGCCAGAGGGCTGGGGCCTCTTCCCAGGAAGGAGGAGTCTTAAGTCAGTTCCTGGGGAATCTGCGAGACCTGGGGAGTCCCTGGCTGGACTGATACCCTCCTGCAAGGAGGTTCCTGGGGGCCCTCCCTACTGGAATGGGAGACCTAGGGGCACTGTGACCACTGCTCTCCAGGGGCAGTGAAGGGCTTCCCGGAGCCAGAGGAAGGCAGTGCGTGCGGGTGAGAGGCTGCCCACGGGCACGATGGGGGTCTTGAGAGGGTGGCCACTGCCACTTCCTCACCTTCCTGCACATAGTGCTCTTCCTACCCGTTCCTTCTTGGTCCCTCCCAAGTTTCACGTGAGGAGTCCAACCTACCTTCTGCAGATCACACACTATAGCCCTCCTCCTTTTCCAGTTACGGTATCCGGAATCGGGATGAGGTGTCCTTCATCAAAAAGCTGAGGCAAAAATGAACCTCCAGACGAGGACAGCTCTGTGCTGGTGGCCTGTACCCAGCTGGGACACAGCTGAGCCCTAGGTCCAAACAACCGAATGATGGGGCAAATGGGCCTGGCCCTGTGTACAAAATAAATCTACTTGCTTCTTAGTTTGAAAAGTCAGAAAACCACAGTACCTGGGGCAGGAGGGACTGCTGCTGCCCAGTCACAGAGGGGAGGCAAGGGCAGAAAACGGTGCAGGTGAATCCAAAGGTCTAAAATGCTTCATTTGAGCCCTGTGCCCACACCATCCACTGGCCATAAGACCCTTTTACTGTGGTTTCTACAGCAAGGGGAAATAAAAGCAGATGGCTGGCTTTCAGTGTGTGCTTGGGGGGAAACAAGGGCCTTGCATCCAACAGTATGTGGATGAGGTCTCCAGCCTCAGCTCACAGGGTTCACGTATAGCAACACCCTTCACCCTTTGGCTCCTGCAAAAAGAAGTAGCCTGTGGCTGAACTTGGAACTGCTGGCTACAGAGGGAGCGCTGGGGTCAGGGTGCTTCTCCGTGGGGGTGGGGGGATGAATGTGACAGCAAAGCCATGGGTTCTTCTATCATTGTCAGCTGCCAGTCACCCTAAGGAAGGGGGGCAAGGTGCAGCCATCCACCTGGCTGAGGGGCTTCACTGGGAGGTACATTTGACACTTAGTTCCCCGCTTTGGGGAACTGTAAGTGGGAGGGGAGGGTGAGGAAGAGGCCTGAAGGACCTCCCTCCATAGCCCTAGCCAGAAACCAGAAAGACGAGGCAGCTCTGATAAGTTAGTGGCAGCTAAAACGCTCCCGGTCCATTTATTGGCCACATGAGGTGGTCGTCCAGAAACTAGTTAGAAGGTAATCATGGGAACTAGTGTAATAAATGCCCTGAAGTACGAGACATTCACCAGCGGTGAACAAGGCACAAGAGGTCAGTGTTCAGGAAACGGGCAGGCCGGCACACAGGGCTCGCGGGCCGAGAGTCCTGTGGCCTGTGAGGCTCGGGGCGGACAGCGTGCCCGGCTCTGGCCTGCTGGGGCTCACAGCCCCGGTGCCCCGGCCAGCTCAGTGGAGCTGGGCATCCAGCTCGTACTTCTCACAGAACTTGTCAGTGAAGGGGATGCAGGTGAGGAACTCACACCACTCACAGCGGACGGGGTAGAAGTAGAAGAGGACCACCAGGCCGGCCAGGAGGCCCAGGAAGACCACCTGAAAGACGATGATCTGGCAGCGCTTGCGGTACAGGTCAAACTTGCCGAAGCTGATGTAGGGCAGGAAGGCAAAGGACAGGAAGAGGCCGCTGATGAAGCCCGAGATGTGAGCGAAGTTGTCGATCCAGGGCAGCAGGCCAAAGGTGAACAGGAAGAGGACCACAGCCGACAGCTTGAAGAAGGCACGCCAGGGCCGTGCCAGGACCTGCCAGCTCTGGAAGAGCTCCACGAATAGGCAGGCCAGGATGCCAAACTGCGAGCCGGCTGGGCCCACCTGGCGACAGTGTGGGTGGCTGTGAGCTGGTGAGGCTGAGCAGATGACGCCCACCCCCAGCCTGGACCCACAGCCCCATCTCCCCATCCCGCCTCCCATGGCCCAGAGCGCGTCAAGATGGAGGAGCCAAAAGGAGATGCTCCCAGGCTGGACTCTCCAGGGACCCAAACCCAGTGCCAGACATGGACCCAGTTTAGGATGGGCAGCAGGTACACTCAGGAGGGTGCCCACCCTGGGGGATGCCCTTACCTCTGCCCGGTATGGCAGGAAAATGGCACTGGCCAGGTTACCAGTGACACCACTCAACAGGTAGATGATGGCTATGCGGTGCCAGCCTGCCAGCTTCTCCAGGTCCCGCAGGACGGTCATCTGGAAGCAGACGGACACCAGGCAGTGCAGGATCCTACGGGGGGGCAGGGGGTGGTACTCAGGAGGGAGGCCACCCCTTCACCATCTCTGGCCAGCCACTCCTAGGGTCCCTGGGGCCACTCACCCCACCTACCCCTGCTCAGCCCACATGGTATCACTTGCCCAGCGTGCAAGAAGAGGGACAGCCACAGGCGGTAGAACTGGTCAGGCACCTCAGGGTTGAGGAAGGGTAGGAGCCCACACACGTCATCCATGCAGTGCACCTGTGCAGAGTGGCCCATCAGCACCCGCTGTGGCTGGGGTGGGGGAGGGACACTCGCCACAGAGGCCTACCTGCGAGCACAGTGTGGCCTCCTCATGGAAGTAGCCCCTCATGAAGTCACAGTACTCCCGGGAGGTGATCTCACACCTGGAAGGTCAGGCCAGGGTTGAGAGGACTTGGAGAGGGGCCTGCTGGGGCCCAGGGCCAGAGGCAGCCGACTGCCACCCAGGCCCCTTGGTATCTCGGGTTATTTCCGAACTTGGTGAGGGAGAGGGACCGCAGGGCAATGTTCTGCACCCAGGAAAGGCTGTGCACACAAGCGCACCTACCTGCCCTTTGTGCCGATGCAGCAGGGCCGGCCCGTGAGGGCACAGTCCATGTGCAGGTGGTTGGTGTGGTTCCCAGCGCTGTTTTTGGTGCAGATCTGGGTCACAAATGGGGGAGAGCGGGGTTAGGGCCACCCCCAACCCTGAGCCCCACACCACGCTTGGGGATTGGGGCAAAGATGCACAGGTCCTAGGGTAGGAAACTGGCCTCCCTTGACCTCAGGCATGCTGCCACACCCTGAGACCGATGAGCCATCTGTCTAGTTGGAATAATGTCACTTGACCTCCCAAGCTTCCACCTGCTTCTCCCGTTCTGGCTACCTGCTCAGAGAAGCAGGTGTTGGGAGGTAGACAGGCTGGGCAAAGGCCTGGGGCACAGCATCTGAATATGCAGGGTGGTCCCATGATGGCTGTCTCTGGCATCACATCACTAATGGATGAAGTGTGGATTCCTCCCCAACATGACAACAGTGATTCCAAACAACCCTTTCACTCTGGCTCACCGGCCACTTGGTGATGTCATCTGGCCACTCGTGGGGGTCCTCTGAGGAGGGCTCATCACACACCCTGCGAACCCAGCATGTGGTCAGACCCCGCTTTATCTCCTTGGCATCCACACCTGTCCAACTCAACAACAAGGGGGGCTATACCCTCTCCCCCCACACCCCACAGAGCCATGGGCTAAGGTGGTAAAGGCGGGGGCAGGCAGCAAGACTGACCTGGGGTCCTGGTGGCAGACAGAGCCAAACTGCCTCTTGTGGCCGCCAAAGTCTGGGGCAGTGGGGTGTAAGGGCCACTTCACCCACACTGCCAGTGTGGACTGTGGGAGACACAGGGTCAACCCCTGGTCAGAGCCCACCCCTTACCAGCACCGTCAACAGGACGCAGGAATCACCCTTACCCACAACCCAATCTCAATGAAAGTGGTCTCGCTAGCTGTCAGTGGCCCCAGCCCATCTTCGGGCATGTTGGGAGACCTAACAGGATCTCAACAGCAGAATTCCTATTAGCTTCAGAATAGAAACCACCAGTCCGGGAACTGGTATAAACTACAGCAGCTCCGCACAAGATGATGTGATAAAAACCTGGATGGGGGGGCGCCTGGGTGGTTCCTCTGGTTAAGCATCCCACTCTTCGTGTCAGCTCCGGTCATGATCTCAGGGTCCTGAGACCGAGCCCTGCGGCCAGCTCTGAGCTCAGCGGGGGCCTGCTTCTCTCCCTCTGCCCCGCCCCCCGCTTGTGCTTTCTCTTTCTCTAAACAGATCTTCTTTTAAAAATTAAAAAAAAAAAAACCTGGATGAATCTTTTTTGCTTTGTGGGTCTCTTTTAATTGCTTAGGGGAAAGAATATGACACTACCACTTGTGTCAGAAACAAGATGCACACGTGCGGAAAGAGCGCCCCCAAATCAACGCCTGGCTACAACTGTCTGTGACGTGAGAAGCAGGAGATGGGGGAGGCAGGGAATGAAGGTGAACGGAAGGCCCTTGCTTTGAACCACAAACACACGGCAGTGGGGGCACCCACCGAGCACTCGTCCTCCGATGTCTGCACGCACCCCGACCGGTCGTTGCGCACGCAGCAGGCCGAGTGCTTCTCACGCTCCCGCGCGGCGCGGATAAAACTGTGCACCTGCGGGTCCTGGCGCATGCAGGGCGAGAACTTGGCACCGAGGTGAATGAGAGCCTCCTGCGGAGGAGTGGGATGTGCAGCGGTGGCCCTGGCCCCTGCCAGCCCAGGGTTCCCACCCTCCAGTGCCCACAAGGCCCTGCCCTCACCGAGCTGGGCCCGATCCAGAAGTTCTCCTGCTGCACATACTTGACGTTCTCATAGACCCCGCGGTTCCGCAGGACCTGGAAGGTTGGGGAAAGAGATGAGACAGATCCCGCTCCAGCCCTCTCCTCCCAGGGTGACGCAGGAGGCAGTTCAGAGCCTAGACTCCAAGGGTCTGGGCCGGGGAGGGTGCCAGGGCTCACCGAGTCCACGGTCTCATGCTGCGAGAAGCCCACAGGCGCGATGCCGTAGATGCACACGGCTAGAATGGTGACGAGCGAGTGCACGAAGGTGAGCCAGTAGGTGAAGAAGGGCCTGCAGGGTGGAGCGTCAGCAGAGGCGGCATCCCCAACCCAGAGAACCCGCCCCCAACCTGGAGCTTTGCCCGCTCGAAGCTGCAGCCCACCCCCACACCCGCACGCCATGCCTACCTGTGGTCATCCATGTCCTCGATCTGACGTTTGACATAGCTGTCGATACGCTTGCGGTAAGTGCGGTTGGTGAGCCGGCCTACCATGCCCAGCCCGTACGGCCGCTTCTCCCTGGCAAAGAACTTGCGCACGGGCATCGCAATGCGCTGGCCCCGCCGCTGACCCGCCGTGCTCACTACCTCCTGCCGTAGCCGCACCTTAGGTTGCGGGGCTACTGCTCCACCCTCCTTCTGCTTCCGCCAGCCTCGTTCTAGGGGCCTGGGGGGAAGGGGCGCAGTCAGCCCCCGCCCTAGACGCCCGACCTGCTGCAATCCCTCCTGCACGGGGCCGACCCTCCCGCTCGGTCTTGCTCCTGTCTAGCAGTGAAGGCTCCGTGCAGCCATTCAGCCTCCTCCCAACCAGTAAAAGCAATCCTGAGCCCCTCTGGGGTGGAAGAGGTAGAGCCTGACTTACATGAGGTTCCCTGACAGTCTGCAAGTACTAATCA